GGGGGTTCTGTCACGCCCCGCTCTGTACGATCCCAATGTGTGCCACGCCCCCCTCATTACCTCGTGTGCATCCCCGATTGTGATCACCTGTGTCCTGTTATGTCTGGCTAGTCTTTTGTATTTAGTCCGTGTCTCAGTTTCCCCAGATCCGTCATTGTAATGTCCGTGGATGTTCCTGTGTGTGTGTGTCTTGCTGATTAAATCCCCTGTTTACCCGTGAGAACGGCTCCGCTTGCCTGCTTCCCCGCTCGCCTGCACGCCGGAGTGTGACAACATCTAAATTCACAAGGGGATGTTCAACATGAAAAACATGCCCATTGTAGCTGTGACTTGGTTATGGCTAATGCGGGTGGCAGCCAGCAATAGTTAGTGGTTTGGTAACATTTGGTTTCTCAATAAAGGACACCAGGACTAGAGAGAAAGACCAAGACTGTCTGTTGGTTCTGTTATACTGAACTGGGATATGTTGCTGGAAACACATCCGACATACTAACTTTGAGTTTGTACGATTGTAGCTAAACAGAAAATGCAAGTTAGTCTCCCTGTGACATTTAAGAAGCTTTTGCCAGGATAGAAAATTACAACGGCTGTAGAGATGTTTATCACTACAGACATGCAAATATACTTGGCAGTACAGAACACGGGTTTTAGTTAATTATGATTGTTGTGATTTTTGACATTTTTATTTATTTTACATATTTATTTTTATAATGTGCAAATGAGTGTCTCTTAGGTTTTGTTATTGAGACCGATGCATTGCCTTTTACAGCTGTTCCTGATTGTTTCTGCAGTTTTAATAATAATAATTAATTTTAAAATCCTGTTCTCCCTGCTGTACCAAAATTGCACTGAACTGTGATCTCAAAGCTGAAGTTTGTACTGAACTGTGAATTTTGTGTACTGTTAGACTTCTATTGGCCTAATATTATCTGTAAACTAATGTAGATGGCTGTCTGATAATCTGGCTATGACTAGCAGGATGGTGGAAAGTTAATCAGCAGGATGGGCTGGTGACATAAAATATGTGTTGCATACACCGATTTCAAATAAAAGTGCACAATTGATAAACAAGGTTATTTGAGGCATGAAAGAGCCTTTGATAATATAGCACAGCAGCTGAACTCTCTGTTTTATGTGAGGATTCACATTTTCTTTACTCAGCAGTTTACGTTAGTATTTGATGACTGTACAATATACACAAAAGCTGAATTCCTTTTTGCACTACGTGGTATTTGAAAGCACATAATCTCTTGGACAATCAACTTTGATCTTGTTAACGAAGAAGCAGTATGCAGTTTACATAATAGCTAGCAAGTGGAACAGTTTACCATAATTCAAAAACATTATTCTTATCACTATACATTAAGCTGTATAGTGTTTCTGCTTGCTCTGCTTCTACACTGGTGTGAAGTGGATCCGTCAGTTCCGCAAACATGTGGCTTAACCCAGCCTTGACTTCATAGTTGCAGGGCTGCAGATGAGGTGGCGGATGGTTTAGCTTTGCTTATCTGATCACAGCAGGATCCAGTTATCTTTAAAAGAGGAAAAAAACAACAGATATTCCAGCTACAACATCAGATACACAGAAACACCTAAACATGTTCATGTCAGTGTTATTTTCTGTTGATTTAGCAGACAGTTTTATCCAAAGTGACACACGTTTGACAAAGCAGGGTCTGATAATCCTGGGCTAAGGGCCACACTCGGGGACCCAACAGTGAAATCACTCTGCCAACCCTGGCATTTGAAGCAGTGACCCTCTTATTACAGGAAGAGCAGCCTAACCCACTAAGCCACACACCATTCCCACTTAGCATTGTTAATCCGCCTCGTGAATTATTAGGAAGGCAAATCAAGCAACTTACAAAACCCCATTTGGCCCACTGATTTAAATAAGCCAAAATCATGAAGACACAAGAAGCAGTGCTTCCAGCACACACTGCACTTCGCTGCAGGTGAGTAGAGAGGTTGTTTCCTGGACTTTGCCACTGCCCTGAAATATCCATGCCTTCCCCCTTTTGCACAGTACAGTATGGTAATATTTTACTTGAGGGGGCACAAATAATGTACAATCTTAATGTATTAATTAACCAGAAACTAAGTGTTACATGCTGACCCAATGTTCATTCATTATTAATCAGTTATAATGGTTCATGTATTTCATGCAGTTACTATATTTGTTCATGATTTATACTTGAGTAGTAATTGACTTACTAAGTTCCTTGTGCCCCTACAAATAAAGTGTTACCATACAGGAATTCTGCACCTAAATCTCTTGCTATGAAGCAGCAGACTGGCTCAGTCCTTGCCCCTTTTCTTTTATGCATCAAGTTCATATTATCAAAGGTAACAGACTTACAGAGGCACTTAATCACACAATAATCAGAGCAAAGCAGAGGCATCAGGCTCTGTTTCCATGATGTTGATTAAACAAATTTGTCCAGCTCACTCTCAGCTCAGTAATGCGGTACTGTTGGTTGGATGTCTGCCAGACTGCAGGTAGATTTGAGTACTCATCTCTCTCCTGCAGCACATGATGTGAAATAAGGAACGGCCTAAACAGCATACAGCTCAGAGAATGCTAGCATACTGGGCATTGACCAGCAGTCAAAGGTGAGATTCTGCCAAATAAATGAGGCAGTGACACAAGAGTTAAAGCTCTGTGGTACTTATGAGAGAGTACTGGTGCAGAGACTGTATCTGACTGGAGCACACAGTAGATCAAAATTTCCTGTTTATCATCGCAGTGGGTGTGTTCTTACTCTTACCAAACATCATTTCACAAGAAATAGGTTACAGCATAAGAAAACATATTCTCATCCCCAACAGAACAATAATGTAAGTATTTCTTTTTTTCTGAACTAGATCTGAATTGTGTGTTTGTCGGTAGTTCAAAATACATCTTTATCAGTGAGTTTTTCTAATGCTAATCGTACAGTACTTGCGGTATTTCTAATGCCAATTACAGAGAATTCATGCAATTACTATATTTGTTCATGATATATTTGTTAATGAATGCACTAACAGATAATTATGTTCATCATAATGTTCATGAATGCACTAACAATAAGTAAAAGACAGATAAAAGGCTAACAGGAGATTACATGCAGTATTTGGCAAAAGTTTTGTTAAAAATTCTATGACGATTATTTACTGTAGCGTAACGTTTTGTGTCGACTTTTCCTTCCCCTTTCAGAGGATGAAGCTGATACAGCTGCTGCTTCTGTTCAGTTTTACACTGGGTAATCTTGAGAAGTTTAATATTTTATATTCAGTTACAGGCTTCATTTCATTTCTATACTTTATTTATGTCATGAAACTTTTCCTGGTGTATAATTGTGTGGGCAAAAAAAAAATTTGACTGGAGAATTGGTGAAAACCAGGTCCTATCAACAAGGTGGCTACATTACCAACCAGCAAAAAATGGGTAACACTTTAACAATTAACTGCACCTTCATAATGCCTTTATAATGCATTCATAAGCAGCATGTAAGTATACCTTAACATACCGTAACAGCTTTAATGTACATTAATAATAAACATTATACAATTATAAGATTATAATGTTTGTTATTTTCATTATTACTGTTCTATGAATGCATAATGAATGCATTATGAAGGTGCAGTTAAGGAATAGCTTCACCCAAAAATGTTAAATCTTAAATCTGTTAAGAATTGTACTTGCTTTAACAAAAGGCCTTATCCATGATGGTAGAAATATGTTAGGGTTAGGGACAGAGGTGACTGGTCCACAGAAATAGAGAAGGTTGTAAGTACCTCCTCTATTTTTGAGATCAAATTATGAAACAAGAAACTCAGTAAAATTGTCTTGTCTTTTAAAAACACATTTTCTCACTTCTTTGCAAAAATTCACTATTGTGATATTCTAAAATGTATCACCTCCTCAATTTTTTTCCCACCAGCCACCATTGGTTACTGTACAGCGGGATGATGGTTTGATGATGCCTAAATGCAGTCACTGAATTTGCAGACTAAGTGTATTGTTTTGTGACCCTCAGTTTTTTTCAGTTGCAGAATTTCTTAACATCAATGTCATCCAGGGAGAGGCTGTTCGTCTGCCTCCCTACAATCTGACAAACACAGAATACTTCTGGTACAGAAATGAAACGCTGATCAGCTCCGCCGCAGGACAGCGAGTGTTCTGCCAAGCAGGGTATCTTTTCTTCCTGCCAGTTCTTCACAATGACTCTGGAGTATACCGGTAATGTGACTATGCCGCATCATTTAGCCATATACATCTTAGCGAAGCATCTCATTGCATAATTTAGCACAATGCAGTGATGAATATGTCGTGTCAGGAGAGGCAGTCTGAATGGATGGCTGGATTTATATAGTTGCACCTTCACTACTGGTTTTCTGCTCCAAGTTATTCCAAATGTAAATTTATTTCCCACTAGAGAGAACAATTCAGCGACATTGCTGTGGATTTCTGCTCTTACTGAGAACTGAACTGACTGGGTCATAAGGCATTTGAGACAGTAATAAAATTGTCTTGTAAAGCTTATAACATTATTATTTTTTCTTTTTTCGTGGGTCTATTATAGCAACAAAGGGTAAACAAAGGTTTTTTCTTCAGATAGTTGCTTTAGTGGGTTTCATTAAACACAAGACTAGTGATAGTGGAAATCAAAACCATTATCAAACGTATGTAGAATGTCAATGATACAGAAGGGAAGATGTCTAATTGAAGTCTTTGTTCCTCAAGGCTCACTTGATGCCAATTCAAAATCCAGTAAAAAAAAGGGAAAACTTGTGTCCAGAGAAAACATAGTCCAGTCCCAAAAGATATGCAGGATCCCTGTTAGCAACCCTAGAGATAAGTTCCTGTCCGTATCCAGAATCAGCATTGCAGTTCCAGTTATTTAATTTCCCAAATCGCTTTGGGCTTGTTTCCTCAGACGGTGCACAAAAATCAACTGAGCCTGTAAGCAGCACCTTCCCAGCTCCTTTTACACCACCCTCCTACCTCCTCACCAAACACAACCAAGAAACTCCTGTTTTCTTTTCCCTCCAAAATAAATTCCACCCCTCCACCTGGGACCTGTCCTCCCACAGATAATCCAGTCACCCTAGTGTTTGCCAAAAAAATTACAAGTGACAGTAAAGGAAAACAGAAAAAACACCCCATGGAACGTAATGGTTACAGGCCAGTAGGCTCACTACACCAGTGAAAATATTATGGTTTAGTATTTCTCTCCATAAAAATGCATTTGAGATAAAACCGGACAGCTTGTTTGATGGATTTATGTGAATGCAATTCACTTTTATTGCTGTGTTATTTCTATAGAAAACATTGACATTAAGTTATATCAGATTGCTAAAATAAGCCTATTTTTGTTATTTGAGGCTAACAACCAAGCAAAGAGATTCATTAAACATAACAGTCCAGGTCTACGATGAGGAACCTTTCAATCAAACCCTCCTGTATAAGTCTGTATTTGGATTAGCTGCCACTAATCCCAGTGTCAATTGCCCTACTGCAGTATGGATGTTATGTCAGGATGTCAGAGGAAGTTTCACATGGTATAAGGTATGTGCAAAGAACAATCATACTCAGCAGTGCTTATCTTTTTAGCAAACATTAATTCAGGGTAATTTATTCACCTTCTTGAAAATCATTTTGACAATCATACATTACTTAATTTTACAAGGGTACAATAGTGAGATTCTACGTCATATTGGGGTCACAAGTCTTTGACTATTTAATTTCACTACATAATCAGTAGTGTACCCTGAAAGACCCTTGTCTCCGGAGCTAAACTTGCACATGATATATTCTCCGCCTTCATTAACTGTAAAGAGCTACTCCAGCCCAGCTCCACACCTTCACACATCTTTTGTCTTTTCAGGATTTTATACACAAACCAAAGAGGTCAACGAAATATTTTCAGATTTTTAACGCATCTAAAGAGCATGAAGGGATCTATACCTGTAAGTGCACATGGATGCGCATGAATAAGACATTCATTACATCTGCATCCAGGGAATTCAAAATTAAAGGTGGGGTTTTGTTATCACTGATTTTCCCAAATTACATATTTATTCAGAGAGACTACAGTAGTGAGCAAGTGTGTGTTTTATTAACTTGTATTTCTCAGAGGTACAGCAGCAGGGAGCTGGGAGTGTGAGCTTTGCCAAGTAATTAATAATAATTAAATAATTTAGTGATCAGTGGTCATTGTTGACACACCACAGCACACAGTGCACAACATCGAAATGTGTCCTCTGCATTTAACCCATATGTGATGTTGTGACATAGCAGGGGGCAGCTAATTCAGCACCCGGGGAGCAGTGCTTGGGGGCGGTACCTTGCTCAGGATACCTCAGTGGTACCTTGCTGGTCGGGGATTCGAACCTGCAATCTCAATTAAAAGTGCACTTGTAATTGAAAAACAATCAAAAATGAGGAACCTTTAACTCAGGGGTTAAATAAAGCCAATTTTAAAAAATCTGATGCATCTGACAATGGCCAGTCCATGAATACCGCCCTGTTTTATCAGTAACCATCTCTTGTGTTGCACTTGGGTTTACCCAGGCCCAGGTCCTGTCACCTATCCTCCATCTTTCAGATTTCCCACCAATGGCACAGCTGAGACTGGAGAGTTAGGTAAGTGTGGCTACAGTAATCTATTCACATTAGCCATCGGGTTAAACAGAGTCGTGCCTAGTGGATCAAACAATGATTTCTAAATTGTGAAACTATGAATCTAATGTCTGTTCACTATCCAGGTTCTCCAAAGAAGATGGTCTGTAAAGTGTCCTTTGGGTACTGCCAGGAAGACTGTGAGGTTGGGTGGAAGATAAATGGGGCCGATCCTCAGAAGCACATGGTGCACAAGGACAAAACTGCCAACTGTACGAACAGCAGGTTCATTATGGAAACGAGCTGGTAGGGTCAAATTAATGTGCATGTACATTCAAAACATAAATGTGACTACCAGGTAGAATGGGGATGAAGAGGAGAGTATTTGTGTTGCTTGTTGTCCTGTTTTACATCATCTTCCATTGCTGAAGACCCGCTCCCGATACTAAGAACAGATGTACAGAGGATGGTAAAAATCCCTGAATGTCGTTCTTAAATATCGAGGATGCATCAGATGCATCCTTGCCAAACAAGAACAATCTCATGATTCATTATGTCCCAAGTTTATTCTTGGGAGGCAAGTGGCAAGACAGGCATTCTCTGTATTGAGAAGCACCCCGTGTCACTCTGGTTTGCCAAAGTAGGTACAAAATTGGCATGTGGATCTGCAGGTAGACTTGGCCCATGATGGCTAAATATGATGACCTTCTCGTTTTGTAACTCCACTGATGTGCCATGTGAATTTTCACAGTCTGACTATATTTCGACATCTACTTCACTAAATACCGATGAAGAGAGATTATCAGAAAGCAATGAAGACACAGTGGCTGTATTTCATTCTGTGTTATTTGCTTTAAGGGAAAAAGAAAACGACATGACTATTTACAAGGCTGTTTTGACCATCTGTAAAGTGACCATGGAAGACTTCCAAACTAAGTTTTGGTGTGTCGCGGAGACACCTAACCGATGGGAGTTTGTGACGGTCTCCTTGAGAATCAGTGGTGAGAGGACAGCTACACACCAGCATTCTCATACCTACTGTAACTGCCTAGTGTACCTGACATCAGTGGGGAGAGCAAGAACAGGAATGAGAGTTTTGGGACTAGAATGCACTCAATTTTGAGCAAGCCTAACGACAGGCCTGTAAATGTTATTTTTCTTCATAAAGCAGAACTAGCAAAATTCTGTAAGTAGCTACTGCAGTGAACGGTGGTTTTCAGTTCTCATTCTGTCTTTATAGGTCTTGTGATGAGTGGTATGAGCTACATTACTAACTAGCTTGCTCCATAATTGCTTACTTACACTCACCTAAAGGATTATTAGGAACACCGTACTAATACGGTGTTTGACCCCCTTTCGCCTTCAGAACTGCCTTAATTCTACGTGGCATTGATTCAACAAGGTGCTGAAAGCATTCTTTAGAAATGTTGGCCCATATTGATAGGATAGCATCTTGCAGTTGATGGAGATTTGTGGGATGCACATCCAGGGCACGAAGCTCCCGTTCCACCACATCCCAAAGATGCTCTATTGGGTTGAGATCTGTGACTGTGGGGGCCATTGTAGTACAGTGAACTCATTGTCATGTTCAAGAAACCAATTTGAAATGATTCGAGCTTTGTGACATGGTGCATTATCCTGCTGGAAGTAGCCATCAGAGGATGGGTACATGGTGGTCATAAAGGGATGGACATGGTCAGAAACAATGCTCAGGTAGGCCGTGGCATTTAAACGATGCTCAATTGGCACTAAGGGGCCTAAAGTGTGCCAAGAAAACATCCCCCACACCATTACACCATCACCACCAGCCTGCACAGTGGTAACAAGGCATGATGGATCCATGTTCTCATTCTGTTTACGCCAAATTCTGACTCTACCATTTGAATGTCTCAACAGAAATCGAGACTCATCAGACCAGGCAACATTTTTCCAGTCTTCAACTGTCCAATTTTGGTGAGCTCGTGCAAATTGTAGCCTCTTTTTCCTATTTGTAGTGGAGATGAGTGGTACCCGGTGGGGTCTTCTGCTGTTGTAGCCCATCCGCCTCAAGGTTGTGCGTGTTGTGGCTTCACAAATGCTTTGCTGCATACCTCGGTTGTAACGAGTGGTTATTTCAGTCAAAGTTGCTCTTCTATCAGCTTGAATCAGTCGGCCCATTCTCCTCTGACCTCTAGCATCAACAAGACATTTTCGCCCACAGGACTACTGCATACTGGATGTTTTTCCCTTTGCACACCATTCTTTGTAAACCCTAGAAATGGTTGTGCGTGAAAATCCCAGTAACTGAGCAGATTGTGAAATACTCAGACCGGCCCGTCTGGCACCAACAACCATGCCACGCTCAAAATTGCTTAAATCACCTTTCTTTCCCATTCTGACATTCAGTTTGGAGTTCAGGAGATTGTCTTGACCAGGACCACACCCCTAAATGCATTGAAGCAACTGCCATGTGATTGGTTGATTAGATAATTGCATTAATGAGAAATTGAACAGGTGTTCCTAATAATCCTTTAGGTGAGTGTAGTTGTCATGTGGAGATTTTTATATGTCCCCATAAGAGTTGGGACACTACAATCACTGCAACTGACAACTGTTAACTGAACATGTGGTTTATGTATTAGCCTGGGTAAAGACAAAGAAACATGAATCGGTACATGCTCTGTTACTCCATTTTTCTCACATACATATTGTTGCGTCGGGCCAGGCAAGCAGTCAAGGGCAAGCTGTAAATGCAAGCAAAACAGGATTTATTGACGATAGACAGACTCTGAACAGGGAACGAGACAATGTAAATGACAGACCTGGCGATACAGACTCAGACGTGGACTTAAATACACAGAATCACTCAGAAATAACACGGAACAGCTGAATACAATCGGGAATTCACATGAGGTAACGAGGGGGGCGTGGCACACGGAAAGATCGTATGAGCAGGTCATGACACATATGCACAACCTTTTCTGCCCTAAGTATACTCAGATACATCCTGAATATCGGAGGCACTGGTGGTAGAATCTAGCACATGCTGTATCCTTCAGTGCTCATATATGGCACTCTGTTAGTCATTGGTTCTGACTGGCATGACAGCATACGCTTGTGTTCTGTTTTACAGAGACAATGTACAAATGCTTGATAGTACACCTGAGCATTATGGGGGTCCTGATCCTGACTACTGTAGCTTTCAGAGTCTTCATGATAGACCTGGCTCTTATTTATCGAGATGTTTTTAAGATGCATAGCAGTAAAAAAGGTGAGTAGGAAATTACATTCAAATGATTATATTTGCAGCTATAACAGACAGTCCCCCCTTTACGGCTATAACACCTGCCGCTCTTCTGGGAAGGCTTTCCACAAGATTTTGGAGTTTGTCTGTGGGAACATTTGCCCATTCATCTAATAGAGCATTTGTGAGGTCAGGCACTGATGTTGGATGTGAAGGCCTGGCTCACAACCTCTGTTCTAGCTCATCCCAAGGATGGGGTTGAGGTCAGGGGTCTGTGCAGACTAGTCAAGTTCTTCCACACCAAACTCACCCAACCATGTCTTTACGGACTGGGGCAATAGGGCACAGACATGCTGGAACAGAAAAGGGCCTTCTCCAAAATGTTTACACAAAGTTGGAAGCATTGAATTGTCCAAAATGTCTTAGTATGCTGAAGCATTAAGAGTTCCTTTCACTGGAACTAAGGGGCCAAGCCCAAACCCATCCCATCCGCCAAACCCACACTCAGACTGCCAGACAGAGAAGTGTGATTCATCCTGCCACAGAGCACATTTCCACTGCTCCAGGGTGCAGTGGCAGCATGCTTTACACCACTCCATCTGAGAGAGCGTTGGTGAGCCTCAGCACTCGGTGACCCTGCTCTGCTACTTTACCTGGTCTGGCACTTCATGGCTGAATTTCTATTGTCCCTAAATACATCCACTTTGCAATAATACCACTTACAATTGCCCGTGGAATATCTAGCAGGAAAGAAATTTCAGAAACTGACTTAATGAAAAGGTGGCATCCTATGACAGCACCATGCTTGAATTCACAGAGCTATTCAGAGCGAACTATTCTTTCAGAAATGTTTATAAACTTCCCCAGTAATCTCAGAGATGTGAGACAACAGCAGATACATTTTTTGGCTTGTTAAACAATGTAAAGATTTTACAATCTATTTTTCCAAAAGAAGAGGTTGAAAAGTAGGCAGAGACCCACAGAATTTATTTTTAAATATACAAAATTTACCAAGCAAAATTAAGAAGTTAACAACATTCTTCAAACAAATGGTACTATCATCAAAATTAAAATATATCTAATGGTCTTTTAAGGTAAAAGTATATGAGTGATTATTGAAACTGAAGATATGAATGAATGAACATTACACTTATTTAGCACTTTTCAAGACACCCAAAGCCCTTTACAGAGTCAATGGGGAGCCGCTTCAACCACGACCACTGTGTAGCCCCCACCTGGATGATGCGACAGCAGCCATTCTGCACCAGTATGCCTCCCACACGGTACCTAAGGTGGTGAAGAAGCAGGGCATCCCTGTCACTGCACTGGAGCATTGGGATGCACACAGACCACAGGATGGGCTCCCCCTGTTGGCCACACCAATACTTCTTCCAGCAGCAACTCGATCAGCCTTCCTAGTTGATCTCCCATCCAAGTACTGGCCAGTAGGGTGGGGTGAAAAAAATCAAAATTTCCAATAGCAATTTCCAATAGTGCAGAAAAGTTATCACTGGACCTCGTTATTAAACGTGCAAAATGTCTTTGAAATAGGTTAATATTTTCAGGCTCCGCAACGCGATCGAAGTTTTCACCTGTCACATCAATGCGCAGATCCACGCTATGTATCATCCATATCATAATGCAATGTAAAATTGTTCCAATTTAATACAAGAACCTAACAATTGGTCCGTGACAATGAGTAAGTGGGAAACGACTCATTCAGAAATGTGGAGCATGCTTACACTGACATACTGGC